TTCACTTTCGGTGAATAGCATCAAAACTTGTAAAAACATCAAACTTAAAAAAAAAACACCATCAATATTAACCAAAACAACATCAAAACTAATAAATATGTTCCATACTTGCTCTCATACTAGTACATCTTTTGAGGTAATCATTAGGGCTGACAATTCTCGACACGACACGCGACACGACACGAAATAAATGGGTTTGGGTTGAGTTTTTCAACCCGCCAACCCGCTAACCCGCCAACCCGTTTATTAAACGGATCTTATATGGGTTTCTCAAAAAATAAACGGGTTGACCCGCCAACCCGTTTATATTCTTAGTAAAAAAATTATTTTATTTTTAAATGTATTTATGTATCAAATATTAATATTTAATAAGTATTATATAATATATATCATTTATTCATACACCATTTGACTGTTTTGACATTATAACTCGTGGTGGATGGTCTAAGGTCAGAAGTCGTAACCTATAAGGCTAAGTCTGTAACATGTATCTATGAATGTTTTTAATTTCCATTTAGATGTTTATGACTTAAATATCTAAAATTCGGACCCACGAACCCAAATCTGACCCACGAACCCGCCAACTTGTGAACCCGTATAAATAAATGGGTTGGTGGGTCATATATGGGTTTATGTTCCAAACCCGCCAACCCGTGACCTGTATATTTAAATGGGTCGTGTTTGGGTTGACATATTTTGACCCGCCAACCCGCAACACGCCAACCCAAACACGACACGATTGCCAGGCCTAGTAATCATGTCCCTAATACCTTTTAAAAATCGGTTATCAAGACAACAGTTTATTCAATACAAACACACCTAGTGTCAAATGAGAGCTGCATAAAAGGTTATTAATTTTACACAAAATAATCATAAAAAGAGATTCAAGTATGAAGCTAAAATGAACAACATTCAGCAATACATAAACATATATTCTGAAATCAACAAAATAAACACCTTTAATCCTCATTCTCGTACCATTTATCTCTATCAATCCTACAAATTCAGAAAATGAACACAAAATTCAACAAATTATCACATAATTTAGCAATACATAAACATATATTTCAGAAATCATCAAAATCAACAATAAATTTAAGCAAAAACCAAGACCAAAATCGCAACAAATCAGCAAAAACAACAAATCAAAACCAATTTAGCAGCAAAATCGCAACCCATCTAAACTTGTTATGCTTCTTCTGTACAATATATCAGCAAAATCGTAACTTACTGTTTTCAATACATCGGTAAAATCGAAAAAAAACAATATATCAACAAAAAACGAAAAACAAAACAAATACATGTGGTTGAGAAGGCCGGAGATGGCGATGCGAAGGAGCGTCGACTGTTCTTCCACTGTAGATGGCGAAGTAGAGAGTGACACAATTAGATACGAGAGACATAAAAAGCTGGGGGCATTAGAGGTCTGTAAGGGTGGCGAAGACCGAAGAAATCTCTACTGGAGCGTCCAACTATAGAGAAGAAAGAATGTGGGAGGTGGGAGAGAACGACGAGTTTAGGTTAAGGGCACATGGTGTCTTTTTTTTCATATGTGTTTTCAAATCTCACCAAATCAGTCGTATTTTACTTTTTCAGACCCTTTTAAAAGATGTAAACAAACAACGTCAACCTTTCAGATTGAGTCCTAGCCCCTTTTAAGACCTATTAAGTAGTAAACAAACAACCATTTACTTTCGTTGGCTAATTCTCCATTTATTTTTAAAGTTATATTTTTAACAGACTTAGACTGTTAAAGCCCATATAAAAATCATAACTCTATCATACAACCTTAATTCTTGATTGTCTTTATATTGACGAATTCCTATTCATGAGATATTCGATTCTCGTTTAGATAATTTTTCATAATAATCAACCGATTTTAATTTCGGTTTCTGTGTCGTATACTATTGCATTGAATCTTTGAAAAAATACAACTTCCTGATTTGAAGTCAGATTTGGACGTTCTTTAAATGCACGAGTTCTCTTTTACGACTACTACGAATCTCGTTTAGATTACTTAGGTTAATAACCAACCTATCCCCGATTCATTATTTACAATGCGCATAGCCGTGATGGTTTGATCACGAAACTTCGAACATACATTACTTCTTTATACGAAGTCGGATTCAAACGTTCCTTATATCTACAAAATCACCATCATGACTACCACCACTTTAACAAGACTGTTTATTCTAAATAATATTCTATCGAAAACGCTATTTTATCGCTTATCGATATATTTACGAAAAGGCTTATAATATGTTGTCCGTAACACACACGATTAATGATTTCCCTATTGGTTCAAATTATATTAATTATTATTTTTTATATCTTAAATGTCTAGCCTAAATTTGCGAGTGTTACAATTTATTTATTTCTCTCAAATTATTTCTAACTCTTTTAGCTCATAAGGGCACCCCTAAAAGGACTTTGTTATTATTCCTAAAGTTATACCAGTTATGACATTAGACATATATTACCAACAAACCATACCCATGATTACCAATTCTCTATTTTATGGAAATGTTTGGTTGTTCACATCCATCGGAACCTCTAGAAACATAATTGATAAATTTCTATGTATTTCCCTCTAGGGTTAGCACTGCCAATAACAATAACCAGCTGCAAGAAGTTTTGAAGTGATTGAATCTAAATTTATTGGATAATTTATCACATTGCTTTATTAATTTGAAGCTGCAAATAAATTTGGAAAATAATCTTACTACGCAACTTATAGGGACGAAAAAGTATTCACAATGATGGTTGTCTCCCGTCTTAATATAGGTAACCGATCTTGTGTTCGTCATTTTTGAATTGTATCAATATATATTGAATCTTGAAGAATCTTCCCCCTTAATAGCCGAGTAGGAAATATCAACACTAAATTGGTTACTGAGAGTTTAGATGATTTGCTTTCCTACAACATGTTGCACATACTGTCATCCAATATATCATTTATGAAACGACTTACATATTTTTTGTTGGCTTGAAGATGATGGGGATGCAAGTTTGTTCTTACACAAATGCGTTTGTCAACTAACTTACAAACTTGGAAAACTCACGTATTCTCATTTCTTGTACTCTTGATTTCCCTTTTACAATATTTAAAAAATCAAATTGCTTCTAGTTTTTTTGGTGGTACTGGTCTGAAATCCACTATAAACACTTTCATTCTGACATGATATCTACATATATTTTTTGGTTTTAAACAACCAAAACTCTTTGATAAGTAATGAGGTTTGTAGGTAAGTGATGAGTTTTGGTTTGTGGTTTGTAAGTTAAGAGTTTGGACAATGATATATAATGAATGAGGCAATCCCCATAAAGTAGTTTTAGTTTTTTCAAAATAAGAAAATAGAACAATAAGTTATCTTTATAGGTTTGACATGGCTCATTATCATCATTATCAGATTGAGTTTCATCATTACTAAATCCTCATTTGCGGACGTACGTTTGTATCATCAAACAACATCAATAAATTTTCATAATTGTTTGTTAATTCATCAATATCATATGTAGGCCCATCGTAAGAAATTTGCTTACCTTTATGCTGCCCATCAACTTTATATATAAGCCCCTCGTAAGCAACTTGTGTTTCACCCTCAATATCTAGACGACTAAAATAAACAATAAATTACAATGTGGTTACTTCTGTGCGAACAACAGATTTTCATTAAATTCGTTTCTCCATAAAATTGATTTCCAGTGGAATTAGCATATTGATATGTAACTAGTTGGTTAACATCATTTTTGACAACATTATTCACACTAAACAACTGCACCATATTCACTAGGATATTAGTAACAATAATAACAAAATATTGGACATCACTATCATTAATTATATGTATAACAATGTTCGATTCATGACATTGGAAAGAGAAACATATATGATTAGTCAGTAACCTAGGCTAGAAAGCCACCAAGTTAACCAACTCATAAAAGTTGATATCATAAGACATACGTTAAATCTACACCATAATATATGTAATCAGGCGTCATATGCTACATAATGCCTTCCGCTTCGGCTGTCCTACACTACAAATAGAAACTCTAAAAAAACATAGATTCCATGAATTCATTTTGAATAATAGAATGATGTATTGACATACATATTGATAAACCCTAAAGTCATATAAAGAAAAAATGACTAGTTATTGTTTAACACCTGAATACAAAATGAAGGATTGTCCAAAATATATAATGTTTGTCCGAAACATATCTTTATCCCAAAATGTCATATTCCATTTCACTTTATATCCATTGTTTTCAGACTGTCGGATACAGTTCAGAACGTGACATTCGGACTCGAAGGTCATTTTTACAATTCGCTCGATAATTGGTCATTTTGGATCATTTATTTGTATTGACCGCTCATTTTTGCGAATATCCTAATTTGAAACTATTTTGTAATAAATCTTAAACTAAAATAATGATTATATTATTTTGCAATGGATTGGGCAATTAGTGAGAAATCAATTCAATCTAAGCCGTACTCCAAGCTGGGCTTATAAGAATCATTTACAAAATTACGAGTTTCGAGTTTCAAAATGTAGCCCATTCGTAATAAGCCTTACGTTACTTTACCAGTTTACCTAGGTCGAATTTGCTGCTGGGCTAAATAATTTTGTATTGAGATTTCAGAATTCAGAGCACCCAAAGAAACTGTTCCTGTTTTCATTGTTCATTGCTCTGCCAATCCTCTTAGTCGACACTCGACTCGACAGAATCGAGACTGTAATTTGCGCTTATCTCCACCACCTCTGTTGCAGGAGCAGTTGTTATTCTCAGGTTAGATGAATCGTCGTCTTACCTTTTTCTGTCACTCCATACTTATAAACACTTCAAAACCCACACGAAAATTAGTTTCCATAAACCCTAGAACAAATGGGTTCTCGTTATTTAGAGCATTTATGTACACTTCAACACAATACAACAACAACAACAACAATTATAGGAGAGTTAATACCAATACAGACCCAAATGATCCTTCCACCCTCATGAAAGAAGATGGCGTGTCAGTTTGTTCGGAATTATGGATTGAGAGTTTCAGAAACCCTAATCAAACAATCACTAATCTGACTAACTACTTAAGGAGATTTGAGCTATGGGTTCTAGCCTATCAAAAAGTTTGTGCTGACGAAATGGGTGCTTACATGCCTAGAAGTTCAGTACAAAGATCAGCACTCGAAGATCTTCTAGCACTTAGAAATGCTGTTCTTGATAACAGATTCAGATGGGGTGCTAGGTTAGAGTTTTTCATCAAATCCCCGAAAGATAAAACCGAATACGAATCATTATCCAAACGAAAAATTAGGGCTATTTTAACTACTACACAACCAAGCCCATTTCAAGATAGGATCGTTCAAGAGGTCTTGTTCATGATCTTGGAGCCTGTTTTTGAAGCTCGATTTTCAGAAAAATCTTACGCATTTAGACCTGGAAGAACTGCACATACTGCATTGAGGGTTATTAGGAGGAGTTTTGCAGGGTATTTATGGTATATCAAGGGCGATTTGAGTACAATTTTAGATGGGTTAAAAGTTGGGATGGTGATAAGTGCTTTAATGAGAGATGTCAGAGATAAAATGGTGATTGATTTGATAAAATCCGCCATGACTACACCAGTAATCACAAGCCCACCTGTAGAAAAGAAGAAAACAAAAAGAAAGTATCAAAAAAAGAAAGTCTTAGCAGAAGACGAACCCAAACCCGACCCATATTGGTTAGAATCTTTTTTCGGGTTTGCCCCTGAAGAAGCTGAAAAGGTTCCAACTTGGGGGCATTGTGGTATTTTAAGTCCACTTTTAGCTAACATTTGTTTAGACGAATTAGATCGTTGGATGGAGGGAAAAATTCAAGAATTTTATCGCCCTTCAAAAAGTGATGTCATATGGAATAGCCCTGAAGGTGAAGTTGACCAAGGTAACACATCATGGCCCGAATTTGTCCCCACCAGTGGGCCCGATAAGACCCGAAAAATCGATTACATTCGTTTTGGAGGCCATTTCTTGATTGGAGTTAGGGGCCCACGAGCCGATGCAGCCATTTTAAGAAAACAATTAATCGAATTCTGTGATCAGAAATACATGTTAAAGCTCGATAACGAAAGTCTCCCAATTGAACATATAACAAAAGGGATAATGTTTCTTGATCATGTTTTATGTAGAAGAGTTGTATACCCCACTTTAAGGTACACTGCAACAGGTGGAAAAATCATAAGTGAAAAGGGAGTTGGGACTTTGTTATCAGTCACAGCAAGTTTAAAACAATGTATTAAACAGTTCAGAAAATTAGGGTTTCTAAAAGGGGACAGAGATCCGGACCCACAACCATGTTTTAGAATGTTTCATGCTACACAAGCGCATACAAATGCACAAATGAATAAACTTTTGTCTACAATGGTGGAATGGTATAGATTTGCTGATAATCGAAAAAAGATTGTGAATTTTTGTTCTTATATAATTCGAGGGTCTCTTGCGAAACTTTATGCAGCAAAATATAAACTTCGTTCACGTGCAAAAGTTTATAAAATTGGTGATAGGACACTTAGGCGTCCATTAAAGGAGAAAAAAGGGCAATCCCCGGAATATAATAATTTATTAAGAATGGGGCTTGCTGAAAGTATTGAAGGGTTGCAGTATACGCGAATGTCTTTGGTGCCTGAAACTGATTATAGTCCTTTTCCTGTTGGATGGAAGCCTGATCATGAAAAGGTGTTGATTGAATATATAAAGTTGGATGATCCGAAAACTTTGGAACAAAATCGTACGAGTTTGATAGAAGAAGGGCTTATTTCGCCACAAGATTATATTTCTATGCTTGTTTGGAATTATAAGCGAAGTGCTGCTATTAATGGTGTGGTTAACTCAGAGTTGTTGGTGGGGTCGGGTGTTGAGAAAAGAGTAGAAGAAGATGAGGGAGAAGATGAAGAGAGTGAAGAACAGTTGCATGTTAGGAATATGTGAGAGAGAGGTAATTCATTATTCATGTAATGTGAATTTTTCTATAGATTTAATAATTAATATTGACATGGACTTGTGCTTTTGGTTATTGTTAATTTGTTATGTTTAATTGTGACATGATGTTGTAAGGTATGTGATTTACGTGGAGAAAAAGATTGCTATAAGGGGAAAGAAGTGGGGACTAATGTATTCATTCTTCATGAGTTGGTAATTCACACAAATGACTATTTTGCCCCATTATCTCATTCATCATCTTCATGAAAATTACGCATATAGTGAATGATATTGGTCAGACATACTAATTGCAGTGTTTTGATTACAGAAGATGATGATGTTAAACTTAAACCATCGTGGGGCATGTTGGTTTTATTGCAATGGTTTTGTGGGGCCCGTGTATTGTTGACTTTAGAAAGTCAAAAAGGCTGAGAGGGCCCAGACACTGATGATGCAAATGAGCCTATGCTTGAAGTGGGAGGTGGTTTTGGTCTGGAAGTGATCATGAATCATCAGCATGGGGATTATATAACAGTTTTTAGAATGTTTTGAAGATTGGGTAAACAAAGCTTTCGGCATCTGTATCAGGAAAATTAATTAAATTGTTTATATTAGTTTTGATTTCTAAACCCTAGAAAGGCTAGAAGTCAATTATTTGGTCCCTAACTTTAGATAGAAAAAAAAAAAAAAAAACTCGGACAGTCTCTATCATATATTTTTATTACGTCTTTGGTCATCGGATAGTCCATATGGTATATTTCTATTTTCCAAACATGAAAAAGACTTTTGCCTTCAATAATTTCTTTTTGATTAATTAATCTATTGTTTATTGTTTATAATGTATTAAAGTTAAAAAATTATAATGGGGCAATATTGTTTATCGTTAAGTTTATGAAAATAGTGAACTCAATGTCTTTCCTTCCCCTTCTTTTGTATCGGTCCACCGTCTTCGGCCACTAGAAAATGGTCCGACCTAACCTACCAGAAAAAAAAAAAGAACGAACCTGAAATCCAGAAAAAAACATTAAGTCTGATAAAAACATACGAATGATGTTCAAATCCAAGGAGAAAAACACAAAGCTAGCGTCCAATGAGGATGAGGGTCAAATGAACTTGAAATCATTCATGAAATTCCTATAGTCGAATTGGAAAAAAAGAATAATAAACAAACATGAAAGCATTCCTTAGTTTGAATAGCTAGGGTGAAATCCCTAAAACGAACCTGAAATCATTCTAGAAATTCTCCAAAAAAAAAAATACAAAATAAATAAATAAAAATAAAATAAAATAAAAAACGAAACAAAAATCCCAACCAAATCTAAATTCATTCAAGACTTTGAATTGTCAGGGTGAAATTTCCAAAATGAACAAGAAAAACACAAAATCTAGAATCCAAAGAGTTGGTGGTTGTTGACGACGGCTGAGAGATGGTTGCCGATTTGAGGTGGTGATCGTCTGATGTGAAGCAGTGGTCCGATGAGCTAGGAGAAGAAGAGACAAATTGGTGAGCCAAAAGAGGGTGGTCGATTTACGATTTTGTCTGTTGAAGAAGAAAGATAAAGAGAAATATGGCTGGTAGCGGGTAGGGATGTGGAATGAGTAGTGTTTTAAGTGGATTCATTTTAATTTTAATAAGTTATAAATAATCAATTAATTAATAAATTCTTAAGGATAAAATAGTATTTTTACATCTAACTGTGACCAAATTCGCAAGAAAAATATGTCTTAGAACTTTACGAACTAAATTAGAAACCAAACACACAGACCAACCCTAAACTCTAATATTTACAATTGAAATGTTTGTTGATACTTGATACACAACACAAAATGTAATTTTCATCAATTAGTACGACTAGTATTGGCATAGAAATAAAATAAACATTATTATTCACATTCTCGCTCATTTAAGATGAAATGGTTATGTTACTACTTATTATGTATATGATTTTGTAGTGTAACTCAGCATTCTGGATCAATGATATGAAAAGTGTATTCTTCTATTTTAAGTGTAATAATATAGAGTAAGTTAAAAATTGGTGTGGTTCACCAAAAAGTGCTTTTTGAGTGTAACTTTTTTTTTTTTTCGTCACACGCTTATTTCAAAATTGAAAATATTATACAAATTTGGTCTTTAAAAAATCGGAATGCATTTGAATAAAAGAAAATTAAAAAGAAATTAAAAGAGTAAAATAATCTTTTTAAATGCATTTAAATTTTGGAAGAGCTAAGATATTTTTAATTTTAGACTCAGCATAAGACAAATAATCAAACTTATGTTTTGATAAAACATAGTACACCAATTTTACAATTTACTCTCTAAAATCTTCTATTACGATAAATGAAGATAATTTTGACATATATCAACCTTTAATGAGTTTTGAGTTATCATTTTGTTACATTTTTAAAATAAATAATATCCACATGTAAATTTATGATTTTTTTAATTTTTAAAATTAAAAAGTTACATAATAATTATACTTTTATATATATATATATATATATATATATATATATATATATATATAAAATGTCAAATGTTATAAATATTATATTAAATTGTAATTAAAAATTTTCTTTCATTTATTATTATTATTTCAGAATTTTATTTAAAAAAATACTTATTATTATATTTTTATATTTATTTTCTTTAATCACACGGTTATACCTGATATAAAACATAACAAAAGTAGACGTGATTTGGTATGGTGTGGTCGCATGAATTTTGGATCGGTCCAGAACACTCTAGAACCCTAGCGATCAAAACCATACAATTAACGCACCCTCGTTCTCTTTCACTTAAAACCCTCAACGCTCGCTCTTTCTCTTTCTCTTTCTAGAAAGCCGGAGCTTAATCTTATCCATGGCGTCCTCCAGTCTCCTTACACTAGCTAAACCCTTTTCTTCTTTCTCTGCAGACCTTCATTCTCCTTCCGTCTCTACGAAAACCACATCTTTAGGTATTCTCAATTTCCTTAATTCCTCTCTTATTAGCTTCATTTTTTTCATTTTTTTTTTTTTTAAATTTTATCGTGCAATTTTAACAGGTCTACGAAGAAATTCCTTCAAGGTTAATGCAATTGCAACCAAATACGAGCCTACAAAGGTAGTTATCTGTGATTATTAGTACGATTTCTTCATCCTTTTAAAATTTTTAACCTAACATGCGATTTCATGTAATTGAGCGACTTCTGAATGTTTTAGTTTCAATAAATTCTCTACATTTTAGCCTACTTATCAGTTTCAACTTTATAATGCACCTAATCTGTGATGTAATAAATTACGATAATGTTGTTCAACAAGGCGATGTGCTGATTATCCATTGTGTTATACTTTATTCGTGTTCATAGGTTAAGCCACAAGCTGATAGAGTGCTAATTCGTCTGGAGGAACTACCTGAGGTACCTTATTGTGTCTTTATGTTCAAATTCATATCTATGTATTTCTATTTGTCCCTTTGGTAATGTTTCTTAGGAATGAATCTTATATCATCCAAGTTTATCCTTCAATTCATGTGTTTCTTTGCTAAAGTATTCCCATAATCTCTGAATTCATGCTTTACCTTTATCTTACGATCAGAAATCAGCTGGTGGAGTTTTGTTGCCTAAATCAGCTGTCAAGTTTGAACGTTATCTTATGGGAGAGGTGAGTAGTAATAACTTCCATCTTCTTATTCAAGAAAGCATGCTTATTGCTTAACGATTGTTTTCACTTTTTTATTTTTGTCATAATGACATTTATATCTCTATAATCGTTGAATAATCTCTTCCCCTGTTCCAGATTCTTGCAGTTGGTTCTGATGTAGCAGACTTGGAGCCAGGGAAAAAGGTACATTCATATTACAGAATAAGCAATGTACTTTGTGTTGTTGTTCAATGTTCATTGTTTTGACTTTATGCTTTATATTGTTTGTAGGTTCTTTTCTCTGACATAAACGCATATGAGGTAATAATCATATATATAATGGATTTTGAACCATTTTGTAATCTTCTTTCATGCAAGAAAATTTGTAGTTATGATTTAATGATCTTAACAGGTGGATCTTGGAGCAGTGGGAAGACACTGTTTCTGCAAAGAGGCTGACTTGTTGGCTGTGGTTGAGTAGTAGTAGACAAACACCATTTTATTTTGATGAGATTTCTATCATAATTGAATAATTTGATTGTTGTTTATGAATTGATACAGTTTTGTCATCACAAGCATAACAAGTTATGTCTAAGATGTTATGATTTAAGTTCATTAGTTCTAAAATGAAAAAGAAACTCAAATCTATATGATATTTTCTAAAATAGAAATGACATTACGCCTTTAAAATCCGCAAAGTTTATCACAACATGAGTTTAGACTTAAAAGCACAACGGGAACAGATTTTGGAAATAACAGGTTGTATGTTTTTTTTCTGTATGATTAATGTTTAAAAAAGAAAAAATTTATTACCAAGATACAATGTATTTGTAACTTTATATTAATGAAAATCTTGTAACTGATTATCAGTGATCATGTAGCAATAACATACCAAATTGCCAAATTGGCATGAGATTAGCCGATTAGGTGAAAGGCTACCGCTAGATTTATTTGATTAATGATTGGAATATATAGTGGGAAAGGGTAATAGATCAAGAGGATTATCAGATGTACACGAAAAAGTTTTATCTTACATCAAGTATAGATGCTGTCACACCAATATCATGGATGATTAGACTATGATGAGTCGGGAGGATGAAGATAAAGCAAGAATCCGCCTACACTACAAAACAAAGAATATTTACTATATAACTAATGGTGTAAAAGGTTATACATTTTTTTTTTTTCTTTTTTATAATTTTCTTATTTTATTGTATGTAAGTGATAGATTTGTGTAGTGAGTTAGTTGGGTAATCATGGTGTTTCCAACCGTGTACTCGTTTGGTAAGACAGGCAATGGTGTTTCCCAATCATTTTTCATGGTGTACATGTAAGGTTGTTCGGTGTGGGTGTAAATGAGTGGCACGTTATGTCCATGTGGAGCTCGTTATAACGAGTGAACACCATCCCTTTTTAGGTTATACTGATGTGGAGTTATGAGATATGATAAGTAGGGATGAGAATTTGGTCCGGAAAGTTGAGCTGAACCGAACCGAATTAGGTTCGAATAGGCAATTCGATCCGGGTTTTGAGTATCTGTGTTATGCTTATTCGGTTATCGAGTTATTCGGTTTAGGTTATCCAAATAAGAGCTTGTTCGGTTTTAAATACTCGATCCGAAATTGAAAAGACATTTAATTTTATTCCTGATTACTTTCCCTCATTAGTCAATAGTAACCCTTATCTGATCAAAGTCGAACTCGAAGCCACACCCTGAATTCCGCGTCCCCCTTCTCTGATCGATGAAAAGCGAAATCACCTTCTGTCCTCATCATTCAGAACAAAAAGAAAACTATATGCCCATCCTTGTCATTTCAAAATCGATCAATCTTCTTAACCATTGCCAAACTTTAAATTACTTATGTCTATCCTTTCTCTTGGTTTAGACTTTCAAAAACCGATAATTCCTATTGTCTCTAAGGATTCATGAATTCCTACTTTGTCTAGTCATGGAAAATTGAGCTCCAACTCAAGAAACTCAAGTAACCAATTAATTAACATTATGTTAATCAACTATATAAATACTATTCTTTCAGTTTGTTATTGTGTTATATTAGTCTTTGAATGTTTTATGTTGATGTATAAAAATATATTGTTATTCTATTATATCAAATTTAATGTGTTATGTTAAAAGTGTTAATCTATAAATGTGTTATGTTAATGTGCCACTTAAAATGTGTTGTGCTCTAGATTGATGATCAAGACGTGTCTGTTGATAACACTCAATTTGAAAACAAACTCGGAACAAGTCAAACAGCAAACAAGATGAAAATGAAATATGCCAAAAGGGCGGCTTACTAGGGCGATTATAATGTAGTTCACATTGACAAAGTTAAACGTAGCAAATGCAAAAGGTGGGTCCAAACCCGGACCGGATGGACCCGAAACTGGTTAACGGAATTTTTTAGAATTGGAAACCAGACCGGTATATAGGAACTGGTTCTGGTTTGGCTCCGGGTACGGTACCGGGTAAAGTGGGTCTAAAACCGGAAAACCCGGAAACATCAAAGTGTGTAGGTTGGAACCGGATAAAGTGAGTTTAGAACCGAAATGGCGAAAAACCCAGAAAACAGGAATTTTTTGGTAATTACTTATTACTTAGCGAGTTGAACTTTGAAAATTTTCATATTGATATCCCGACTTTGGGGGACCGTAACTCATTGAATATGAAACCAAAATTAACAAAATTATAGTCTAAAATCATGTACAAGCTCTAAAATACACTTTGAAAAAAAACGCATGTCAATCCGACTTTAAGCGAATGAGATATGCATGTGTTAATATTTTCACAGAATACAAAGTACAAAAACAAATAGCTAAAAAGTTGAAAATTTTCAGTTTTGATATCCCGACTTTGGAGGACTGTAAATCATTGAATATTAAACCAAAAATGACAAGATTATAGTCTAAACTCATGTACAAACTGTAAACTACAAGTTAGAAAAAAACAACATGTCAATCCGACATCAAACGAATTAGATATGCAAGTTTTAAAACTTTCACCGAATACAAAAAAACTGAAAAACTAAAAAACTTCCAGCTTTGACATCTCGACTTTGGGGGACTATAAATCAATGAATATCAAACTAAAAATGACAAATTTATAGTCTAAAATCATGTACAAACTGTAAACAACATGGTGGAAAAACCGCATGTCAATCGGAGTTGAAACGAATGAGATATGCACATTTTAAACATTTCAAAAAAACCGGTTCCGGCCCTAAAAATGGTTCTGGTTCTGGTTCCGGTTTTTAGACCCGTTTACCCGGACCCGATGGATCCAAACTCGGATTACCCGGAACCCGGATAAAACCAATTTTTAAACCCGTAATCGGAATCGGTTATATATGTTCCGGTTCTAACGGTTTCGGTTCCGGTCCGGTTTTCCAGTTCTAAATCTCATCCTTATACAGAAAGATGTAAAATGAACCCAACAAATTTAGAAGAAAAAAAAAATTAGAAAACCAAACCTCTTTAAATTTCAAAAAAAAAAAAAAAATGAAAACGAGGAGAATAATATTAGGACTTGGAAGCATGATGAGAAAAGAATAAAAAAAAACTTTGCTAAACTTATTTATATTTGGAGAATCATCGTTCAAATTTGTAGAGAATCAATCATTAATTGAGTATACTAATGCATGTTTTGTCATGTAGAACCACAATTTCAAATAGAGTCTGTAACACTAGTTTTAGTGATGTTCTAATTTCAGGACATCGGGTCGAAATTTGATCAACTGAAGGGCTTGGGCTTCATGAAAATAGAGTAGACCTTTCAAATGTTGATAATGTTGGATTAAGTGATTAAAACCCTTGATATGAATCGAAATCCATCTCTCTACCTCGTCATATCTACTTAGAAATCTGAAGATGAAACAAGTTTTGTTCGTGTATGCGTCTCTTCGTGTTTGAAGGCAAGATATCGATTTATTTCCCCTGAATATGGTTCAAATCTTCGACGGTGGTGGTGATATTCTATTTTTTTGAAAATCGTAACTATGAGTATGGGTTTTGATTTTTGAAGTGGGTGTTCATGGATTTCTGATTTCTGAAATGGTGTTCATGGATTGTATTTTTTCCTTTTTTTTCAAAATGGAGAGAGAGAGAGAGAGAGGGAGAGAGAGAGAGAGAGAGAGAGAGAGAGATTTTCTTTTTAATTATAAAAGTATTTAAATAAAAAAAAAAAAACTGAAAAAACAAAATCCAAAGGTAAAATCATCAATTCAAAAAAAAAAAAAAAAATTGAACCAAAGTGACGAACAAAATGTAAAATTTAGTACCATTGGTTAGTCTAAACTTGGTTGACCCAAAGTTAGAATTTTGGATATACCATACAACCATTCTTACTATTTTATCTAATTTTTTATGAGTGTAAAAGAACTCAATGAGTAAAAATTAAATGCCAAAGATAATTGATTTTTTATACCTAAATTATTTATCCACAAAGGAATCCCATTTGCACGGTTCAAACATTTTCGATATACAGCTTCCATAACTAAATTAGCTTCCATTCTGCCCTAAACATTGCATATGACGAAATAGTTACACTTTTATCCTTTTACGATAACCTTTGCGTATACATATTGAAGTAGGCATTTACAAAATAATATGCACAAAATGATTAATATAATTAACTACCCAAACTTTTGCTTTTCTTTAGGTTAAATAGGGTTCATATCCTATTTTGTTCCTACAACAGTAACATATTTTTTTATATATAGTTTTCTTGATAGTAACAATACGTAACCCTCACCTTCTAAGTTATTATTGGTAAAACCTGTAATTAAGTTGATATTATGGGTAAACGAATGTAATTATTTTTTATTTTAGATAAATAACAAAGTATATTGTTCAAGTTTCAGGTTACATACGGTTAAAAAAAATCGAGTACATTTTCTGTATATTGTGGATGTATATATTGCTTTTCTAGCTTCTTGATAGTTTTCAATAATATATTTATTAAAAACAATACATATGCATTGCTCTATATTATGTGTAAAAACAAAATACAGCTTGTAATTTTCCCTTTTTACATCAAGCAAAAATTATACTAATTAATTTGAGCGAGAAGATCAAACTATTAGATAATAAATAATGATGTCGTAGATGAGTAATCGTTGTGTCACACGTCTTGTAAATCTTGAGCCATAATCTGTGGGACGTAAGTAACCTGCCCACAATTGTCTTTTATGGTTAATTTCACATGCATTGTTTGAATGTACACAAAAAAAGATTTTACTCAAATAATAATTTGTATGCCCTTTTGATTTAAATATGTAGATACATGTAGATCGCATGTATAAAAGTTACAAAGTCCAACTATATAACATGACACATTATAATTATGGATTAATCTTCGATAAAAAAACGTTTAGACAAATGCACACACAACTCAAAACCCTTCTTCATCTCTACTTAAGCAATTCCCACTTCATCGAAAAAAGGGAAACATTTGTCGTAAGAATGATTTCTCCTTCTTCCCTTCTGTCTTTCTTCATCTTTTCTCCCCTCTTTCTTTCAATCAATGCAAAAACCCTAATCCATGACACTTGTGAAATTTGCTCTCAACAAGATCCATTTGTGAACTACAGATTCTGCACCACCTCTCTCCAAGCAGCCTCTGGGAGCCGTCATGCTGACATCATAGAGCTTGGAAAGATCTCGATCAAACTAGCATATGATAACATGACTGACACTCAGTCTTACATCAAAAAGTTGCTGAAAAATGATATCGAGAAGATCAGTTCTTATATGAAGTTGCGTTTGGATGACTGTCATGATCTTTACAAAGACTCTATCTCTGATATTAAAGATGCCACGAAATATTATAATAATAAGCGTTACTATGAGGCAAGTTTACATATGAGCTCGGTTATGGATGCTACTACCACTTGTGAAGATGGATTCAAGGAGAAACGTATGGGTTTGTCGCCATTGACAAAAAGAAATAACGCTACTTTTGAATTGGCTGCAATTGGGCTTTCGATTGTACGTATACTTCAAAGTGATGCAAACCAATCTTAAAGAAAAATAGAATCCATAGAATGATGGATTAAATTCTGTAAACTCTGCTCTTTGATTATTATTATTATTATTATTATTATTATTATTATTATTATTATTAAACTCTGCTCTTTGATTATTATTATTATTATTATTATTATTATTATTATTATTATGGAAAATGACACATATAGCCTACGAAATGTTTCTACGAAATGTTTAGGATCGACCATTTTAGTCATTTAATTTTACGAGGGAACCATGGGCAACATGTCCTTTTAGTCCCCTTTACTTGGGGCCTCTCTCTCATCACCAGAAAAAACCCAACAACAACAAAAGTTGTTGTCTTTTTCGGCCCATCCTCTCGTCTTCCTTCTATTTTGATGGCAGACTGATCCAATCACCACCAAACCACCGCCATGGCCAGTTGAAGCAAGCCTCAGACCGTAAACAAGACCGTCGACACTGTTCACCGGATAAGAAGAACCAGCGAGAATCACCATTTTCCCTCCTCTCTTCATCTCTTTTCAACCTTCAAGCGATTTCCAATCGTTTTTCCTTACTCCTCCATCAATCTTAGCTAACCCTTTTTCTTTTCTGTTCAGAACTCATTCAAAAATCTCCAAGAACAGTCAACACCTGCCATGGTGGCTGGTGACATGAACAGTTCCGACGGGATGGTCCCGGTGATGGGTTCGGTCCTAAACAAATATATATAGTTCCTTATTCCGTTGTTTTTATGTTTTGGAGGTGTTTAGGTCGAAAATTAAGAAGAGTATTTCTACGGGGTCTCTATTGAAGAAGTGGAAGCTCCGCTACTCCGGTATATACTCCGGCGAAGCAACAGTGAAGGGAAGGATCATGTGGTGTTGTTAACTCCAAAGCAAAAAAGGAATTCTAGTGAGGTTTCCAAAGTCGCCGACGGGTTCAAGGCTCAAACTCCTGTTCATGAGCTATTTTACGTGTGAAAAAGAGCAGAAAATGAAGTCAAAAAGAGGAAATTGTTTCTTGTGTTTTAAATTGTCTTCATCGAAATCCCCAAATTCGTGAAATCGAGCTGCCTGTTCTTTGAGGATGACTTTAGCGGCTACCAGTGGCGATTCTAGAATAGAAAACACATAGTTCACTGATTTTTCTATAGTAAATTTTCTATATGAATTCAAGGATTTTATTGGTAAGGTAGATCCTAAATTTTTCCTAAGATAGGTCAAAAAAATTTCAATAGAAATTTTGCATAAGTTAAAAAAATTATGACTCACCTTCCATATGAATAGCCTCGCCACTGGTGACTGCTATGGATGTTAAAGTATCAAAAGTGTAAAAGCTGAGGCTTGGACTGGATCCAGAACCTTGGATATCCCCATGTTGATCCATTTTGATGAATAATCGAGTAATCTTTTGGTGAACCAGAAGAATCTAAAATGGGTTTTCTATAAGTACTCTCTTTATTTTTCAGTTACACCCGTTGATTTGATTTTTTGTCTTTTGTTGTTGTTGCTGTTTTTTTTTTTCTATTTTGTTTTTTTGTTGTTTTTAATTCTTTTTTTAATTATTATTATTATTATAAATTTCGCACAAAATTTTAACATTCGGATGACATTATAAATTCAAACGGCTATATAAAATCGGTTTTTAAATATATTTTTATATTTTTTAATTACGGACAAAAAAGTCGTTCGAATTTTATAATGTCGTGCGAATTTATAATGCTTACCGAATTTTAAAATGTCATCCGAAATTTAAAATGTTGTACGGATTTTTTTATTATTGAAATTTATAATAATAATAATAATAATATTATTATTAAAATATAAAAAAGAACAAAAAAGAAAAAGGAAAAAAAAGAAAAAGAAAAAAATAATATTAAATCAAAAGTAAAAAATTGATTTGATTGATGTTATGGGGTAAAATTGGTTAAGGGGGTACTTATAGCACAACTCATCTAAAATCGTCTTCATTGGAAAAGAGTAGGGATTAGCATATGGATCGGGGAATCGGCACCGGAACCGGAACCTGATGGAACCGGTCGGGTCGGGCCGGGACCGGGACGTTATTTTTGTGGATTTTTGAAACCGGGAACCGGTAGGAACCGGAACCGGTAAAACCGGCAAAAACCGGAACCGTATGATGCTATTTTTCGAGGATCGGTTCCAACATTTGAAGACATAACAAGAACCGCTAGGAACCGGGAACCGGTGGAACCGGAACCGGTAGAACCGCCGGGCCGGTTCGGTTCTTAATTTTGGCCGAAGCCGGTTCCTGGTTCCGGTCCGGTTCGGGCCGGTTCCGACCGGTTCAATCCTTTTGCTCATCCCTAGAAAAGAGAGACAGATAGACCTTTTAATTTTTTTAATTTATTAAAATATAAAAATAAATGAGCTGGGTAACTGGGTTACCCTTGTTTTTTAAAAAATGGCATATTGGACCCGAAAAAATCAAATTTGTTCTTTTAAAAAACCACTTAAAAAATCAAGCGGATAAAAGAGTAAACCATATAAACTTCATAAGGATTATGTGTGATTTATTATTATTATTATTTTTATTATTATTATTATAGACACAATCTTCAATATTGCTATTTTATTTCAAGCATCGGTTTGCGAGCTTCTTTTTTGGCAGTTAGAGAGTAAGCTCACTTACCAACCGGCAATCAGTTAGCTAGAAGCTATAGCAAATACAATCGGAAAAACATCATATCACATATCACATACACACCAGTTGGCCCATGCAACTAATATTTTTATAACATTTATATCTAATCTGAAGCCAATTAAAAGATTTCAAGTCCAAAAATTATCATATGCTTAGTTACATGCATAGTTCTTAAGGAATTCGAGCATTCTGAGAAAAAAAAAATCTTTATATTATGAGAATGATTTCCTCCATAAATGACATTTTCTATTAATTATCTATATATACAAAATATAAGGAGGTTACTGGAGGTATAATGGATCTATATACATCATATCTATACACCAACCCCCTACCTCTTATTTTAATCGTAAGGAATAGTTTGAACAATTCAAACTGAACAAAAATTGTGAAAGAGAGATGATAGAAGCGCTGCTTTGGTACTTAGAGTAATTAGAAGGTACATGAATAACTCGAACTCATCCCAAAAGAACCTTATCGATTGCACACCAAATAAATGTCGATCTCAATTTTTGTAGCACCGCTTTAGAATACATGTAAATGGAATTCAAATCACCATAAGAGCGGAAGGATCCGTGATCGGGATGAAGAAATTTGGGGGAGGTACCAGTGGTAACACATAAATCCACCATTTTGCGGGTTAAGTAAGCTTCTCCACCTTTTTCAGCCTATGTATTGGTTACTTGTATGTTATGCTTGTATACTTGTATGTTATATAGTTAGGTATGTTTTTAATTAGTTTGTGAACTAGTTTTGTATGTTTTTAATATTTTGTGCGTTTGTTTTGTATGATTTTAGTACGTGTACATTATCATTTCCCATTAGCTACCCTTTGAGCTTTATAAAATGAATGGAGTTGTCAACATTCAATTCATGCTTGAAGATCCACATAGATGGAACAATATCGAAAACGGGGGACTATAAATGAGAACCCAAGTATCAGTTTTGATAAGAACATTAAACTCTTCATTCATAGGCTGAAGTCAGTTAGGGTCCTTTAAAGCCTTTAAATAATAAATATATGAGTGGAGAATCAAGGAGAGAACGGTCATTTATTGCTATTATTCTAGTTTTTGGCTGCTAAATATGACAAAACTGGGCAGCTTTTAAGGCAAATTTTTATAGCTGCAACCGGCTCGTAAATAGCAGCTACTTGTCAACATTTTGGGCTCCTTTTAGAACTTAAGGTCACCATTTCCTCCAATTTGGGAATTATTTGGTTTGGAACCAAAAAACCCCAACTGAAATCGATTTTAGACTAAAGTACTAAACCATATTCAAAATCGATTTTTGGTTTGGTTCGAGACCAAACTAATTAAAAATATATTTCAAATTTTATATATTAAATAAAAATGTTAAATAATCAATATAAAATAAAAGACATTTTAGCTCTTTTAGCAATTTGGTTTCCTCAGTTTCCAAACCGAACCAACCCAAATTGGAATTCGGTTTCCAGTTTGGTCTAGAGAGATTTGAATTTGGTTTGGAGAAAAAAAAAATCAAACTGAAGAAACCGATTCGAGGAAACTGACAAACCCATAAACCTAACCGATTTTCTCCCCTAATTGTAGATGCGAAAATTATCTTTTGATTATATATGAGCATTTCTCGTTCATTTGTTATCCAAATGCATCCCGTTGTCATCCAGGGGTGATCAAAACCGAATATCCGAAAATTCGGATAGTTGATTATTGATATTCGAATCCGTATCCGAAATTTCGGATATCCGAAATTCCGGATACGGATTCGGATATTAAACCGGATATCCGAATTTCATTAGTTTTAAATAAAGAAAATAAACCCTCAAAGAACAAGAACGTTTCCGTGCATTTGTTAGGTATAATAAGACTTCATTTGGTCCGGTTAAATGCAAGTTACCTCATAATACCTGAAGATCTTGAGAAATCAAACTCAAATTACTAAAATCAACATAAAAAAGGTAACATTTATACCATCCTCACTTTGCGCACCAAGTAAAAATGTTAATAATTTGTCTTTTTGAATTTCAAATGAAAAAACCCAATGCATTAAAACTATTTTTAATAATTTTTTATATTATATATTTCGGATTTCGGATATCCGAAATATCTGAAATTTTCACATTTTAATATCCGTATCGGAATCCGAAAAACCGGATATCCGAATTTCAGGTATCCGAATTTTCGGATATCCGATTTTTCGAGTATTTTCGGATCGGGTTTTCGGATTTTTCGGATCGGATGTTCGGATGCGGATATTTTTGACCACCCCTAGCTCTACCTATTCATCTTTTCTTTTCCTCCCCGGTTATTTACTTCTTTTAATCTCGTTTTTCAATTGCCATGCCTACATTACATCAAAACATCGACAAACACAAAAACGCACTGAATCTACCAAAGTATGTGTGAATCCCATAATTTCGTGAAATGCATAAATTACATGATAAATACATAAAAAATGCGATAAAATGGCATACAAAACGTGACCAAAAAAATCAAAAAATACACCCTAAAATAAAGAAGGTAGACGACTCAATAAAGTGAAAATATAATTTTCTTTAACTATTGATGTAAAAATTATCATTAAATTAATCTAATTTTAAAAAATATATATATTAAAGATTTTAAAAAAAATGTAGAGAAAGAAGGCTATCAAGTGAAAGGGAAAGCATTGCATTGACCCCACATTGAGGGAAGAAGAAAGCAGGGAGGAAGATTATAAAACTCGAAGCTTACAAGCTTGAAACTTGAAAGGATCAATGGAGATCTGTTCTAAGACCGTTTTAATCATGTTTGAGATCAAAGTTTACACTCCTCACCACCTAACTTGTATTTATTGTAGTTTTAGTCCCCACTGAAACTCATGTTAATTCAAATTACACTAAATGGCTAGTGACACTAAAATCACCAAAAACATGAAACAGCTACTAGTTAGAAGAAACCACTTACAGATGAATAACCATAACAAAAACAAAAACAAAAACAAAAACAAAAACATCCAAAATATTTTTTAACACCAAAATGTATTCAAAGATTAAAAGTTTAATAATAACATGTTCAATCAACCCTTCCCTACTTAACCTCAAGTGCAAAGGAAGGAATATAAAGATTGCTAAATCATGTTCATGAAAGTATGATGGTGATGATGAAGTCTAAAATGCTTCCAATTATTTTCCTCCCACTTCAACTTATACAGAAAAAACAAACATCACAAAAACAAGATACGCCAAAAAACAGAAGATTTAGTTTTCAGGGTTTTAGCTAGCCATGGGATGGTTATATACATACTCGACTGCAAGTGCACAAGAATCAATCTTATCAGCTTCTTTGTCTGGGATCTCCAATTTGAATTCCTCTTCAATCGCCATTATCAACTCCACATTATCCAAGCTGTCCAACCCCAAATCCTTCTGGAAATGAACTTCAGGGGTCACCTGCACATTATTACAGATCACAACCTTTTAATGAATTCCTTCGAAGATGAGTTCATGGATCCAACCCTTTCTAGAGGCATCCAATTTGAACTGAGAACAAAAAATTACTACATTCAGCTCAATAATTAACCTTTACTGTAACCGAATCCAGCAGATTCATTCCAATATTTAACGTATTCATATTGCTGTATCAAATTTACAAAATGAACAACTGCACCATCGTTTTGAATCCCAACGATGCCACATTTGACTGAATATGTAAGAACGTATCGATGATTCCACGATCATACAAAATTAAAATTAGGTCAAAGTAAAATTAAACATAAAATAATCAGCTCAGCAATTAAGATTTAAGCCTAAAAGATAAATTAGAATCAAATTGAGTAAAATCACAGTGACAATACCTTAGAAGGATCGACTTTAGGGAAACTCTTGACGATGTCAAGGATTCTATCAATGACTTGACTCTTTTCGAGATGATCGTCGTGAGATGACATTGAGCGAACGGAAGTGTTCCCGTGGATCCATAAAGGACTCAGCAGCTTCGATCCGTTAGCCACCACCGGGATTCGTACATGACCTAGAATCGCTGCTCTCAAAGCCGACGCCATTCTCGCACCTTCTTCTCTGTCCTCTCTCTGTGCCTGTAAAAAAGTTGGATTTAAACTTTAAAGCATCCCTGATAAGCCCATTGGGTTTATTCTGCAATCAAAAGCCCAATTTTATCATACTTGTACTTTGTGTAATAAATGATGTACATTTGTTTAAACGACTTAATTCGTTAGAAACGGAATATGAATCAAATTTTGTAAATTTAGAAAGGATGAGTCACCCAAAAATAATACAGTTTTCACTTTTTCTTCCCACTTCCATTACAAACGTTTGCTTCTTCTTTCTTATCGCTCTCTGTCTCTCAAACTTCTTCGATCTTTCAACCATGGCAGGTTTTACTCTCTCTGTATTTCGATTGTATATGTTATCACATTTTATGAATCTCGATTCTATATCAAACGACGAATCTTCTACATTATATTGTAATGCATATTTGTTTGGATTCAAATCCACAATCAACAAACTGAATAAGGATTATTGCCCTTGTGTATGATTGTTAGCAGAAACAATGAACGTTGTATTCTTCTTTCACTCTTCTAGAACTAATGGATCTCTAGGAATTTGTTTTCTTTCACACTTATTGGATTTGACGTGGGGTGTTAAAAAAAATTCCCTTTGTCATGTGTTTTGTCATCCAGATCGATTTAGGGAATTAGTTTTACGCGGGAATTTCAATTTCATTATAATTGGAAGTGGATTGAAGTTAAATTTGTTTCCTCAATCAAAGATCATGTCGGTATCAAGTTATTGATTTCATAATTTGAAAAGCTAAAGTTTAACTTTGACGAGTCAAATAGGCTATTTTACATGTCTCAAATTATTATGGATTGTGTATCTGTTCAATTGTAGCAAATCAATAACAGATTCAACATCAAGTTAGCATTTGATCTGTACTAGCTTAAAATCAAAACTCCAAACGAAGTTCTTCATCTGGAACAGATGAAGTAATATATGATTTTTTTTCAAATGTGCAATCTTGTTCTAGTTTCTAAGTTTGTGATTTTTTATTGAAACAGATAACGAAGATCCTAAGGCAGCGAAAGATGAACGCAAATCAATCCTTCCACCAATCACCGAGATCAGCCGGTGGCAATGGTGGTGTTTGGTGTTCCTTAACATATCTTTCCTCCTAATCGGTCAAGGTACCGCCATTCTCCTCCTAAGATTTTACTATGAACACGGTGGACGCAGTAAATGGACTGCAACACTTGCTCAAAACGCCGGATTCCCAATCCTTTTCATACCTTTCATTCTTTTTCCGAAAATGAAAGAACCCTCGGTTAATTCCCCTCTCATCGTGGTCTTATCAGTCTACTTTGGCCTCGGACTCCTAATCGCCGGTGATCATTTACTGTATTCCGTCGGATTAGAATACTTATCGGCCTCAACTTACTCGCTAATCTGCGCGACTAAATTAGCTTTCAGCGCTGTTTTCTCGATTCTCATAAACTCCCAGAAATTCACAATCTTGATCATGAATTCAATTGTTGTTCTTTTGTTATCCGCTTGTCTTGTTGGCGTCAGCGACTATTCGCCTAGCCCTCCTGACGTAACTCAGACTAAATACATTCTCTGTTTCATCTCCACCATTGCCGCTTCAGCTCTATACGCGCTTTTACTTTCTGTCACTCAACTCTCGTTCCAAAAATTCATCAAAAAGGAAACTTTCGCAGTCGTTCTTGAGCTCCAGATTCATACGTCAATCGTTGCTTCTTGTGTTTCGCTCGTCGGTCTGTTTGCTAGCGGCGAATGGCGGTTGTTGCGCAGCGAAATCGCGAGTTTTCATGAAGGGAGTTTGAGTTACGCCATGACGTTGATTTGGACTGCTGTTGCTTGGCAGATTTGTTCAGTTGGTGTGGTAGGTTTGATTTTTATCGTGTCGTCGTTGTTTTCGAATGTGATTAGTACTCTTTCGTTGTCTCTTTCGCCTTTGGCTGCTGCCATTGTTTATGATTATACCATGAATGGCGCGAAAACTATTGCTGTTCTTTTGGGGGTTTGGGGTTTTTTTACTTATGTTTATCAGCATTGTCTTGATGAGTTCGAGTTCAAGGTGAAGAAGAAACCTGTTATTCGTAAATGCAGTCAATGTGCTTGTTGATTTTTTTGTTTTGTTTTTGTTTTCATGTTTAGATTTTTACTGAAAATTTTGAGATTACGTTTATATTTTAGGTTTGTTGTCAATTGGATTATAATTATAGAAACACATTGTGTATAGGGTTTATTTACGATTCATTCTTTTATCCCAATAAGTTGTAAAAAGACTTATCTGATGTATTCGAGTACACAAATTCCTTTATTTCTTCATTATTACAAATGTAAAATCAGTTGTTTAATATTTTATGAATAATAATATATCACTTTTTAGCTTCATATAAACACATAAAACTGTACAATTTACTTCAAGACAGAATTGCAACTAATCCTTGCATCCATTTAAATTTCAAATAAAAAGAATGTATAGATAAACAGCATCAAAATATCATCACATTTGACCAAATATTCTTGTGGTCAACGCCTCATGCCGCTAGAGGCTCCTCCATAACTGTATTTTTTACATCCAAGAATCACCACAAAACATAAATTTGTTAGATTTTAATCAGAGTTATAAACATAAAAGATCAAATGCAAGAAATATCTACCAAATGGGTAGATTTTCCAAAGCACATTGCTATTTCTTGCATAAATATACATATGAGAGAGAGAGAGAGAGAGAGAGAGAGAGAGAGAGAAGGACCTTTTGTTTTTGCAGGTTGAGATTTATCAGCAACAATCTCAGGTGCTTTTGTAGGAACATCAGGTAGATCCAACTCATCTTCATCTTTTGTAGAAGATGACTCAGCAACAGGAGCTTCTGGCAAATCTTGAATTGTCATCTATAATCACAAGTAAAAAAAAAAATTGTAGTTGTTAAAGGGCATTTAAGACATTTGACAAATAGGCATAAGTTCAACTAAATAAATAGAACTAAAACATACCTGAGCTTCCAAGTTATCAAACTCAGCTAAAATATCCTCTTCATCCTCAGCTGACAACTTCTCTCCCAAAATCGCATTAATTTCCTAACCACAATCCCAAGTGTCAAAAAGTTTTATAAAAAAATGTTTATAAAAAGAAAAAATATATATAGAACTAAAAACTCACATCTTGGTATGCTTTGGCTTCAGCTGTATCATCCATGAGTTTTTGAACATCATCTAAATTAATTTCACCTTGGATTGCTTTCATTGCGTTATTTCCTGCTTTTAAACTCTCAAAAACTGCCTTCTGCTTGCTTGCTAGTTCAATATCTGCCAACTAAAAATGGAAATTTCAAATAATATGAATGTTTATGGGAATATATATATATATATATATATATATATATATATATATATATATATATATATATATATATATAAAATGAGTTAAGTACTTACTTGTTGTTCAACATTTATAAGCCATGTATCCACTTGTTTGAGTAAATCTTCTTGTACTTTCTTCTTCCTTAAGGCTAACAAAGCTCTTTCTTTCTTCTTTTCACGGAGTAAATCTTTTGCTGCTTGTTTTTCAGCTTCAATCACTTTCTCAAGCTATAAGAATTAGCATCCGAAATACCAGTTTAATACTAAGATAACAAAAAACTGAGATCTTGAACAACATAATCAATCTCACTAATATCTTTTAATGATAGATAAAGGGAAAAACAGTAAACCTTGCTTCATCAATAAATATCATGCAAGCTAAATTTATAAACTATCATAGATCCCATAAATCTCTTATTGTACAAAAATACCAACGAAATGGAACAATAGAAACAGCTTTTCCATATTATCCACTACCATTAGCTTTCTTCTCTATTCATCATTGAACACTAAGTCTCTAACAAAAGAACTGATAACTTAATAATCCCCTTTTTAGGGCTATGCTTCAAACATCTATGCTCCAATACAAACTATTGAATTCCCTGATCAATGTGAATGTGGGGGCTTGAACCCTTGATTGAAGTTTTCTATCACATATTCTATTCTAAAGAATCCTTTACAGTAAAATTGATTTGAATGAACCGAAATTAAAATACCTGTTGCTGATATTGGGCAAGCTTACGCCTCTGGGTTTTCAGAGAAAGAATTGCTCGATCAACTTCAGTGATCTTCGGTTTCTTTACAAATACATTACCCATGAGAATTAACTCGACCAGAATCTCAAACCTTCAATAAGAAAAACGATTGCTTGGCGATATTTTAGGGATTTGGATCTCTATCTAGGATACACCGATAAGCTGTCGCTCTATGGGTCAGAGTATCAGTATCGGTGACGTAACCTGCACCGAATATATACAAAGTGGTAGATTTCGAGATTAGGGTTTTCCGATTAGCGATTGATGTTGTTTGATTTAAAACAGATGAAATTCTGGATACACAAGCCAAGATTTTGGGTTTTTAGAATCACTTACGAAGAAACTAAGGATTTTGAACGTAAAATGGGTTTTTTGCTAAGGATTTGAACTGAAACTTGCTTCCATGAAATTTATGGATCCGAAGTTCTTCAAGAAGTTATCAACATAGACCCTTTCCTACGATTACCAGACAGACATCAGGGGTGTAAGACAAAGGGATTTTTTTTGGAGTTAACTTCACAAACCATAGTGTTTTTTTAATAACGGGAGTGAATAGTTTTTTGTTCATTTTTTTTTTAATATTGATAAAAATAATGGTTGTAATGACTTAATATATATATATATATATATATATATATATATATATATATATATATATATATATATATATATATATATATATAACCATTATGATATACCGTAGCAGGTTACATCTGACTACAGCAGGTTATAATGGTTATATGTAAACATTTTCAACAAGTTGGTTACCTAGATGTGTATAAAAAAAAAATTACCCAAATATGAACAAAACGAAAAGTAAGAGTAAATTAAGCGAATAATCCATATGGTTTAGGGGAATTTATAGTTCGGTCCCCAATTTATGTTTTAAACTCTGATGTTCTATATCGTTTATTTTTGTTGCGCGTCTGATCCATGTCTTACCTAAAAAAACTATTATGCTCTTATTAATCTATTTTTTTAATTAATTTTCTTATTTATGTATTTAGTTTTTTATGTATTTAAAAAAATTAATAAACCCCACATATTTATATCTCCTCACTGTAAACCTAGAACCACATTTGAGAAATTTAATTTGGGTCCCACCGGCCACCATCCTATCTCTTATCCTCCTCAACTTCTATTTTATTTCCATCTTGAGTAACATCGACCTCTTCAACATCCTTCTTTTTTTGGTCCAACTATGGCGAACCAACACCATAACTCATTGTCTCTTCATCTTTAATAGGTTGTGGTGTTGATTCTTCGGGGTTGAAGGAACAAAAAAAGAAGGGATGGTGAAGACATCGATGTCACTAAATGTCACACCCCCAAACCGGAACGGCGGAAACGTTCGGGAGCGAAGGACGTCATGTACAGTATCACAACAATTGTATGATAGTAATCAAAGCAACAACAACCATTGTATTAATAATATAGAGTTTACATTGTATTCGATTCGCATATGATTAACTCTACAAGTAAATAGAAAAACAAAGAATTAAAGCTACTATGTTCTGTCTTCTCAAAACTTGTGTGTGTACATATCTACTAGTTTCTTGAGAATACAAGTGATTTTGAAAGTGTATCAACATGTAAGTTGGTGAGTTCATAAGCATTTTGTTTTAGAAAATAAGTTCTTTGTTCCTTGAAAATGTTCGTGTGCTCCTCCAGAAAATCCTATATTTTCTTAATAAGTAATGATAAGTAATGTGACCATACCAGTTCCTTCTACGACCACTTAGTGAATACAAGTTACATATAATCCAGATCGAATGGATAGTTGAATGTGTGGATCTGCCCTAAGCCCACAACCAAACAAGGAACATGATGTAAAGCAGAAATCACACATTCCACTGCCTATCAGATCTTCATTATATATAACCCTAACGTATTCACTAGGTAATCAAAGAGTTAAAAATAACGATCCTTTTCGATGTGATTAGTGTGTTCCTTCAGAAAATCCTATAGTTTCTTAATAAGATGAAATGTAGTCTTAGGCCTTAAGACCAAAATATATATGTTTCTTATGCTTAAAGAATAAAATATGACGCCTTGAATTTTTATAAGTAATGCGACCCATATTGGTTCCTACTATGGTTCCTTAGTGTATACTAGTTATATATAAACAAATATCGAAACGACAGTTGATTGTGTGATTCTACCCTAAGCCCACAACCAAACAAGAAACAGGAAGTAAGGCGCAAAACATACATTCCACTGCCTATTAGATATTATTTATATATATAACCCAAATATATAAACTAAGAAATCATAATATGAACAATAATGGTCCTAACCGAAGAGTAAGTAACCGTATTTGTTTCCAGAAAGTTGAATTGTAAACCGTTTACTAGTAAAATAATGATGGTTGTCCTGGAAAATCCTATATTTTCCATAAAAACGAATTGTATTCTTAAACGTTACAAGACCGAAAAGTACAAGTATAATTGTCATACTTAATTTAATGATACATAGTTTTATTCATAAGTAAAACTAGTTGAAGATGTGTTTGCATTGTAAACTAGATGTAATGTTAATACCATCCTATGATCACTTAGTACATACGGGTTATATAAAATTGAGATCGAACAGACAGTTGAATGGGTGATTCTGCCCTAAGCCCACAACCAAACCAGAAACACGAAATAAGGTGGAAATCACACATTCCACTGTCTACTGAACATTAATTTTATATAACCTTGATGTATATACTAGTAATCACAGAGTTAATACCCCTTTAAGACCGTTTGAAAATATATCATTACGTAAATATTTAGTTAATGCTTATTTTGAGTGTTCATTATAACCATACTAATATGACTAATGGCCTGCACGACGTTCTTCAGGCGTTGGAAAGTTATGATATTTGTCACCACAGACCTGCCGGCCTAACTGTAGCTAATAGTTAAGGTGAGGGATTGTCAGTCCCGTATAGATCTATACACAAACTCACGCTCTCCCTCCAGGAGACTCTGGTTATAATTCAGGATTTTAACAGGTACCATGTTTGGTATAACGAAGTAAGTGGCTCACAAGCCCGTATTAACTAGTATATTTATAATGAAACGAATAACCCTTTTTCTTATAACTGAAAACGTAACTTTTCCATAGAAATTGTTTATGATGATAAATATTGTAAACGTCCCAAAACTATACCTATTATAGTTTTAAAAATATATGTTCTATTGAAATGAAAAACCTTTGTATTTTAACAACTTTAAGAGTTATAAGTGTAGTAGTAACGTTATTTAAGATTTTTACGTAAAGTGTTTATAAAGTATAAGAGAACGTAATAAACGATTTATATTTCTAAACACAATATTTCTTGTGTTTTACTTGTATTCCCCCCCCCCCCACCCCCCCCCACCCCACCTAAAACATAGAAAAAACTTGAAAAAGTATGGGGGTATGAACTCACCTTATGTGTAGTTGTGGTTTGAAAACGAGACAAAATCGATGACTTCAAGCAAGAATATGATAAGGATGTCGTAATCCGAATGGTTTATACACATAATAATGTGTGAATACGATGGTCTAATGTCACAAGTGTTTCATAATCACTAAATAATTGGAATAGGACTTACCCAAATTTATATCTATATTGTAGACGAATGGTCTTCTGGAGTTGCTTGAGCTTAAATATGAAGGAAATTGATTTGATAGTTGAGAGAGAATTGGGAGTGACTTTGTTTACTGGATGTATGAAATGGAGAATGATCTTAATTTGGTAACTTACATAAGAAGGAAAGATAGGAGGTGAGGTGATGTTTTCGTTGGTAACTATATCATATCACATTGGGAGGTTGAATTAGGATAAGATAACAAGATATTTAAGAGTTTTTTTTGCCTAAATAAAGTGTTTGTTGCCCAACATGACCGGAATCATCCTAAATCACTCACAAAAGAGTGATTTCGGTCCTAATGGACCTTAAAGAAGGTTGGATTTTCGGCCCTATTGGGGTTTAGACATTGTGTTTTCGGTCCTATGTGAGTCCATGAAGTAGTTTTCGGTTCAATAGTGTTCTAGTATTCTCAAAATCGAAATCCTTAAGTAATATACAAAATATGCATATAGACTTATTACTTGGACTTGTGTTGACTCCTTTGAGTCCTTGATGGCTTGTTGACTTCATTTGCCTTTCAAAGGTTCATTACAACTTGGCTATCACAAGTGTATATACATATGAACTTGTATAAGCATGCTTTCTTGGTTTTCAAAGTTCCATTACATCAAGTTACGTTGTGAATTCACTTATGTTTGGTTAGGGTTTAGACCTTGTTGGTTCCAAAATTTCTTATTTGTGATACTAAAGATGGAAAGGAAATAGAAGTTGAAGAGGATAAGTGATGTGATCCTTAATAAGTCATATTCCCTCGTCAAAATCGTGATCCTAATCGTAGGATCGTATCCTACGATCCTATATATGAAAAATGATCCGGTTCGTAAATGGATCGTGTAACGCCCGCGTTTCCAGGCTAGGCATTATTGTTGATCTAATAGTCTAGGTTAACCTTTGTAACTCTTTTTGAAGTAGTAATTATGAAATATTTGAGTATTATGTGAATTATGTGTTTATTTTCTTAATTATTATAATTTAATGAATTAAGAATAAAATAAGTGTCAAATTTAAAGTGTGGGATAAGCCCGATATCTTTGCACAAAGATGTAGTGGTCAAAACAAGGATTCTAAAGATATAAAGAATGCCGAAATCCGAGTTATAACGAAGAAGTTATGACCTGTCGAAGTTTCGCGACAGAACCGACAACGCTGAATGACGTAAAAAGTGAAATTTACGTTAGAACGATATTTAGCCTTAGTGATCTAAACGAAAGTCGTAGAGTTCGTTAAACCGAGAGCGTGCATAAAAAGAACGCCCAAATCTGACTTCGTATGAGGAAGTTATGATTTTTCGAAGTTTCGACTTAGCAGTATGCAACCCGAATACTCGGTTTGAGACCGAGCGGTTTTTAGCCGAAACAATCTACACGAGAACTGAAGATCTCGTTAATAGTAGTGAAACGATAAAAATATAGGCGAAAACGGACGTCGGATGAAGAAGTTATGATTTTATAACGAAGTTTTCTGTCCCAGCCTACTAAAAATAAATAATAAAAATAAAGTCAATTCTAGCCGATGGAGTCTAAACGAAGGTTGTAGATCGTACTCTCACCTACGCGGGGATATAAATAACGTCGAAAACGAAGTTCGTATGAGGAAGATATGAATTTTTGAAGTTTATTAAATAATTTCGGTATTTAATTTAATTATAAAATACCCGATATTATCCAAAGGGGGGGAGTCAGCAAGCTTATCCAAGTTACGCCCAGCGTAACCTTAATTACACCCAGCGTAATTCGGTGGTTCAGCTCCTATAAAAGGAAGTCGAGGCTACCGAGTTTCAGTTGCTATTTTCTTTCCTTCTCCCGCGTTTTTACCTCGGTTTTCATGCAAAAATTATCCCGAATCCCCGGTATCATTCCCGAGACCCAAAGCAAGTCTCGAAGCCCCGAAGATCCCGAGAAGTGAGATTCATGTGCTGAAGCTCTGCCCGTGAGGAGCCCGGTTT